TTCGGACTGTGTTTGCTCCTCGCCTGGCCTTATGCTCACGTTTACGGATTACCCCTCTTGTCAAGCCCTCTGGATTACGTTTGCTGTCGTCTGATTCAAGCCCGTTTAGGATTGCTCTTTTGTCTTGCCTGTGCCATACTTGTTTGCTGTTGTTCGACCCTGCCTGTGTTTTTGACTGTTTATTAATAAAAGCTTGCACATGGATCCGCACGCCTCTTGTCAGCTCCTTAACAGTAACATTTGTATGATGTGATATAGTTGAATTCGAGATCAAAGAGATGAGGATGAGATTGCTCTGTATGTCACTTTACAAGTAGGCTCAAAGTAGAAAAAAAACATGTATTAGAATAACTTTATAAGTATTGTGATATTACACGGGGGTGTACTCACTTCTGTACTGTAACAGTAATACAATATTCCATTAAATGATTTTTTTTACAAAGAACCAAATCCAGAATTCAATCTAATCTGTTTTTCTGAGATACCATGAACTAAAGCGTATAAACACACTTGCATGTACGTGTGATTTCATTCTTACCTTCATAACCATCCTGGTCCAGATCTCCAGCACTACTGACAGTCATCCCAAACATAGAGTCGTATGTTCCATTGAGCCGGATCGGTCGTGCCTTTTCCCAGTGGCTGGCTGGGTTCAGGTACACATACACAGCACCTCCAATCTCTGCCTTTCGGTCAAAGAAATTCGGAGCTCCCACTACAAGATCTGTCCAACTGTAGGTGAAATCATCCTGTTAGATATTAAGCACATCAGATTCATGGCTTTACACATGGACATGTGAAGTGTCTTACCCATCACTGTTCAGATCAGCTACGGCCACAGAATAACCGAAGGAGGAGGCCAGTTCCTCACCCCACAGAATGTGATCAGGCATCAGCCGGTAGACATTGTCCTTCCGTAGCAGAACCACGGCTCCTGTGTGTTTGGCTCGAGGAGCTCCAGCAACAAACGTCAGCTCAGACTTACTCATAATACCTCTGGCTGAATCCACAGAGAAACCTGTGATGAGAAGGGACAGATTCACAAATGAAAACAAACAGACGATTTTGTACCTGATTTTATAGATTTCATATGATCTTGCCCATTTGCCAGTGATTATGGTATATGAGTTTATTAGCGTTGTCAGGGTACCACAACATCAGTAGCTAATACCAGTGTAATGGAATTTGCAAAACAAAAACAAACTATTGAAATATCAATATGTCAATGTTTTTTGTCTACAAACCCAGGTAACTGTTCTGAGCGACGTCCTCAAATGAGCTTTTGGACGGTTCCTGTGTTTTGTAGACCAGAGCATCCTCAACGGGATTGGCCATAAATAACAGCCCTGAGATGAGTTTAGATGAGAAAAGGATGATTTAGAGGGAAAAAACATCAACTCATCAAAAGCATATCTCATTACCTTTCCAGTTGTAGGTCCCCGGAGCCCCAAAGAGGATGTAGTTTTTGTCAGGTGTGAAACTAGCTGACAGGCCCTGCTGGCAGAATCCAAACTGCTCATGTCCTTGAGAACGACCTTCACAAAACTTCCACTCTCCTCCATCCAGATCATCTCTCTCGGTCAAATCTTCACTCAGCACATAACAGCGTCCGATCGGGTCACGGGTCTCAAAGGTTTGGTTGACGTGTTGTCTGAGCTCATAGAGGTGAGCGCATGTCTGACATCACAACACAAACAGGATCATGTAGTGCACATGCCACAATGACCTAGTCCCCATTCTCCATAATTGTGCTTTGATTTTAAAATTAAAACTTTAGGATTGAAAGTCCACATTGTAAGAAAGCAGTGATGGATGAGATACTTGAGTTGCATTGAATTCCTTTACTGAAGGAGTACTTAAATATATCTTTGCTTAAATCTATGTTCATTCCCTATCGGGTTGCGTTTTGAATGCGCACAGCACTCATGATGGAGAATGCAATGAGGGTCACTACGTTTGCTGGGCTTCTGGGCTGGACCTGATCTCGAGCGTGCTCAGTGCTGATGATTGTGGGTGTTTCAAGGACACAAAGGATGCATTTGATGCATCCTTTTAAAAATGTTGAAAGAAGAACGTGAAATGAAGGCTGCCTTCCAAGGATCCTCCATGTTGAGGTGGCCTTTGACAGCACTTCATGATGTGGCAGGTGAAGTATGCCGCTTTACAAGGATTCTAAACAAAAACACTTGAACCAGCTCATCAAGGTGTTCAGGATGATTTGAAAAAAAACTAGCATGAGTGCTGGAGCAGGATTGGAACTGAAGTCTGCAGGAAGGTAGCCTTCCTGGAGCAGGGCTGACTGACCTTTCTGAACTTTGTGCATGATGTTATTTACTGTATACATGGCACATCAGATCTGTCTGATCTACCTGTCACAGGTATAAAACATACTTACCACTACTTTTCCACCAATTCCTTGACTTTTGACTGTGACACCCAACCACTGGTTGTCTTTGCTCTCTCGTTCCAGATTCACTTGAGAAAACGAGAAACATTTTTCCTTGAATGGATACAGTTTAGCAGAGCAAACACTTTAGTTCATCACATAAAAATGAAGCTAAAATGGTCTTAATAAGTGTTACCATGTCCATCGATGTCCACTCGTTCACACTTCTCCGGGGTAACCGGACAGCGATACAGTGCACCGGGACGGCTGCTCCACAAAGTTCCTGTGCCGCGGGACTGAGGAGCCCCAACCAATATCCTGCAGAGGAAGACTAACACTTTAAATGTTGTTCCTACGTCACTAACAGTTAGCAGTTTCAAGAAAACAAAATCATAGCTGCATCATTTTTATAATTCATTACATCAGTGGTCTCCAACATGGCGTGGTCTCCTCCATGCGGGCTACCAACACCTGGTCAAACATATTCTATAAGTAATTTTTTTTTCAGGATAACTACATAAGGTAGGAAAAATAACTTTGGTTACATTTCATATAACATTAAAACAAAATCATTTAATAATTTTCAATATTTAGAAGTTTGCATATATCAATATACATTGACATACGTTACATAGGCTGTAAGTTCTGTGAGTTGAGGCGTTGGTGGGAAAAAGAAAACAACTTAGATAAAAGATAAATCTGTATGTCTCATCTGAGGAGCTAGTATAGCAGTAGCAATTTCACCACAACCCACAAGACCTTTATGCACCAGGTACTTCACTGAGAAAAGAAAAGTTAGTTGAAAGCACCATTAAGCTGACAAAAATCTTTTTTTTACCAGACCTGCTAAAAAGTCACAGGCTGCAACCAAAGCTTCATTTAGAGTTGCTCATATTTCTTTTAGAAACACACAAAAAAAATAATTCTCAGATGGTGACATTGTCAAGAGAGCAATGACTGTGATAGCAAACACTCCGTTTAAAGATCACAAGAATGGAAATTAAATAATGTCTGCACTCTCTGATGTTCAACTTGGAGCTAACACAATTGCAAGACGGATCATAGAAATGTCAGCTAATGTAACAGAGCAGCTGGAGCAAGACCAATGTGACGAGTCTGTAGATTTTAGTAGTACAGCTCATGGTTTCATCAGAATGATTTTCAGTGATTTTTCAGTGAAATAGGAATTTCTGACATTAATTCCTTTCAAGACAACAATGAGGGTTGTTGATATTTATGATGATGTGAAGAAGTACTTCATAGACACGAACGTGCCATTGGAAAAGTTGGTATTGGTAACAACTGATGGAGCCCCTGCAATGACTGGCCGGCATACAGGCTTTGCTGCGCTATGCAGAGGAGAACCAGATTCTACATTACCTACAATTTTCTACATTACCACTGCATTATACACCAACAGGCAATGTGTGCCAAAGTGATAAGATTTGATCACGTCATGGACTCCAGTTATTAAACAGTCCCTCCAGGATTTCGCGGGACTTTTTTCGGATTTTTGCGGCCTAAAACGACTGATTTTGCTTCGGCTTTTCTCAAAATTTGCGGTGATATTTGCGGCATTTCTTATTGTTTTGCAGTGAAAATATACCACAGACAACATTCTTCTAACATTGTTATGACTTTTCTGACTTCGAGAACCATTGTAGTGCTCCAGACTAACATTTGAGGACACTAGCACCAGTGCCATTAAGTTCTACATAAGGTGGCAGCAGCACCTGAGAGTAAAGCACTCACCCTAATCGCACATGTACATCTTGGAGATGTCTGTTTGATGTCTGCATTGGCATATGCAAGATGATTTTTTTTAGTGTTTGCTCATCTGCAATACATCTCTAAGACGTTTCCTGTCAGATGTCAATTTGACATTTATTGACAAGACATTTATTAGAATGCATGTAAAACTGCTTCCGATACGTTTATCAGATTACACAGCAGATGTTTTCCAGATTTTTAGCAGACAGCTTACAGATGTACTTGTGCTGTCTGGGTAGTTGAGATGCAGATAAAATTAACTTTTATTACTGTCATTCATAATGTCTAAATATAATTTAATAAATACAAAAAAATATATATTAGGGGTGGAAATGGCTAATAAGCCTATAAGTACTTCTCTGGGTTGTTACTAGAAGGTATAATTTAATGTCTTTTTTATTTTTAAATAAGTCTTTACATTAACACATGAAACTTTTAGTTTTATAAATGGGGCAACCTATGAAGGATGAACAAATAGTCATCACATTAAAAATAACTTTCAAATTCAGTAATACTTAAAGCTTTGAAGTGCTGGGAAAAGTTGTGTGAAGCATTTAAAAACACTCGAAAACATTAGACCATTTCTGCCACAAGTTGTTCCTGTAGTTTTACTATGTTAAATCCATGGTGAATGGTGGGGATTTGTATTTATTGTTGCGGCTCCGGCCCGAGCAAATAAACAATCTGCGCTGCATAGCCCTAGCTTTCAGTTAGTTTGTCCAATGTAGCTCATGATGAGAAAGCAAGGCTGTTCATTCCATTTTTGGAACCTTTCTTTGACTGAATGCGCATTGCAATGATGTCACGGGACGCGTCTAAGCCCAAAATCTGTGGAAAATCTGCGGCAATTCCGAAAATTTGCGAGCTCTTGCGAAAATTGTGGAGTTTGCTTGATGTTGTGATAAATTCAGCGATCGCAGAATCACAAAATCCTGGAGGGACTGATTAAACCACTAACAGCATCCGGTCCAAAACCAAACAGCACATTCAAGTTACATCTGCAGCGTCTCTCAGCTGAATATGGTGACTTTTTGCTCCACACTAAAATTCGCTGGCTGAGCAGAGGAAGGATTTTGCAACATTGTTCATCACATTTGTGTGAAATCAAAGTGTTCATGGAATCCAGAGGGGCAGACACCTTCATGCTTCAGTACACTGACTGGCTACTGGACCTTGCCTTCCTAACTTCCTAACATCACTGGGAAACTGAATCATTTGAACTGTGAAATTCAAGGCAAGGTAAGACAACCAGTGACACACTCAGTGCTGTAAATGCATTTCAAAGCCAAGATAAGCTTTTTCTCCACATATTTACAGAGCGCCAGTATGTGAAGTGTGACGTGGATTGTGACGTGACTCCTGACGTTGTTTGTGACCCCGATGGCCTGGGCAGAGCATGCTCTTGTGCTTCTCGTTATTGTTGTGTTGGCCGTCACCACTAAAAGCTTGACTAAACTATTCTCTTGTGTCAGCGATTCAATGTACCTCACCTACACACTGGCGTGGTGGCAGCGTTATCGTATTCACTCCCCAAACGTTCCAGTGAGCTCACGTGAGATCCATTCACGCTATAATCGCACGCAAGCGAGCTGCGTTGTGGATTATCACCGCTGACGACACTTGAGACATTAGTCATAGCAAATACGCACAGAGCACCTAAGCAGTGGTGTCTAATGAAAGTTGAGACTGTGAATTCATTTGAGAACTGGCGTCAGAACCTTGCTTACATGTTATCTTTGGACACCGAGTTCGCTCCCTTTCTAGTTGATGGCGCACGCTGGGAAAAGAAGAGGAGGGCTTCACCCTGGGTGTTCAGGGTACTTGGACTGCTCTTCTCAGTGTCTGGACTTGCTGCACCCCTCAGCTCTTCCACTTCTGTCAAGCCCTTAAGTTCTAGGTGCTGTTTCAGACTGATATCTCATAACTGACCTCCCGCCTGGCCCTGATTTTGCACCTGGGTTTCTCTTTGTGGCCTCTTTGCCTTTCTCAGACTGCTTATCCAGCTCTAATCCTTGACCCTTCTCCCTTTCCGGTTGGAGTTTGCCACAGAACTCAGTGGCCTGTGGACTTGTTTGCTTTTCGTGTTTTACCTTATTTTCAAAGTTTTTGTCTGATTAACTGCTTGGATCCTCAGCATTTGCCCTGACAACCTCAATCTATCTGAACATATCAGGACATAGGTTCTGATCTGATCTGTTTCCCTGCCCATTTTTCTCCTCTCACTTTCATTTTCGCTTGTCCTTTCCACGTGGTGGCCACTCATGATTCTCATCTGTTCCATCTCTAAACTCTTGCCTAAGGTCTTGTCTCGCTGTGTCTTGAAAGTTCTCTACTCAGAGGTCTCTCCTCTCTGGTTCTCAGACTGCCATGCCCGGTGCCTCAACCCCTCGTGTCTGGTTCTGTTCTCTCACCCGTGTCTTGCTCTTTCATCTTGGTCGTTGGTTCAGACTTCTTACCTGGTACTGACCACCCCCTGTGCCTGTGCCCACTGCCAGCTGAGTTTGTTCCGAGACACCTTGTTTTTCTTTGTGTTAAATAAAGCATTGTTCTACTCAAATGCTGCAGGATCTTTTCCATTCACTAACTTCATCTCTTTTTTTTCATTTTTGAAGCCTTTGTGCCTTTTAGTCAACTGTTTTTTTTTTATATGATATGGATGTATGATATCAGTTCTCCTCAAGGTTCACACAGGTGTCCTAGCATATGAAGCACAGGTGTAGAGAATTACATTAAAGGGATAGTTCACCCAAAAATGAAAATTCTGTCATACTACTTTCATTATTTTAGCATTTCCAACAGAACAACTTGCTGTAAGTGTGCTAGTGCATCTAGTTCATTCTTTACAATAAATGAAATGCTTTAGTTTTAAATAAAATTATAATGTTCAGACATTTATACTTCTCTACTTTTGGAACTGCCATATATAGGAATAAATATACCAATTTGATGAAGCATTTGCACTCCACGCCACCAGCCATTTGTACAGCCTTTGATGCTTTTGAACTTTTACATTGTGATTAAAATATAACTTTGAAAACTCACCAATGCATTTTTTTCTTACACACTAGTAGTAAACTAGTGTGTATTACAAAGATCAGTGGGGATTTATGAAATTCTGGAATATGAAATTTGAACGAAGTAAATCATTCAGTATTACAGGAACTAAAACTATAATGACCATGTTGCAATTTAGCATGTTTGTATCACTGGTGATCTGATGTGTACACTGAAGACAGTTTCAATGTCATAAGCTCACGAGGTGTTTTTTTTTTAATGTTAGGCTGTTAAATTGATTGGTCTAGAGAGAGAGAGAGAAAAAAAAGGCTTAGATTTACCAGAGTTTGTAATGTTAATGGCACTGTGTCTCGATAAAAGGGTTTTGCAAGAACCACAAATGTCCAGGCGTTGCATATATTGCATACCCTTTTTTGAGCCCCTGGCTCTTTTTAACAAGCTTTGTATTATGGAGTGGGAAAGAAAGCTGAAGATCTTTGAAGACAGAATGTGAGGGACCGTGTCTTGCCCTCTGTGTTGTGTTGTGGTGCCTG